CTCTTTATTTTTTTCTCTCACTCTTCTATATGAGGAGTTGTTTCTGAGATAGATTTATCTTGAAGAGTTTTGGGCCTATTTATAGGCAGCTGAAATCACTATACATTAATTTTATAATATTATTTTATTGTGAACTTTTCCTCATTTCAAAATATGCGGATGCTTTCGGTGTGAATTATTTAGCGGGACCCACCCACTTTTTCTTTTTTTAAGATTTTTTATTGACAATCTCTCACTTGAAGATTTGATTGAGTATCAATCATATCTTCACACCATTTTTTCTATCTTGCTATCTTCATGTTGTTCACGTCTCTAACAAATCACAAGAGGATCAGCACCAATTAAAATTATTAGTATTGATTGACAAATCAAAAAATCTGCTAGGTTGTCTTTGGTGTGAATTTTCTGCATATCCATTGTTCCTTCTTCTACTTTCTCACGAACGAAGTGGTACTGAACTTGAATGTGTTTTGTCTTTAAATAAAAAGCTAGATTTTTTGCTAAATGCAAAGCACTCTGATTGTCACAAAATAGAGAAATCTTTTTTTGTTCATGCCCGAGTTCCTCCAGCACCATCTTTAACCATATCGCATCTTTACTAGTTTGTGTACCTGCTACATTTTTTGCTTTTGTTGTTGAAGTAGTCACAACTGACTGCACTTTTAAAATCCAGCTTACAACTCCGCCAGCAAGTGCAAATACGTAGCATGTGGTGAATTTGTAATTATCACGATCACCTGCATAATCAGAATCAACATATCAATTGACAATAAAATCTGATCCCCCATAACATAATGCAACACTTGAGGTTCCCTTAATGTATCTTAGGACCCTCTTTATAACATTCTAATGCTCTTTACCAGGATTTGTAATGTATCGACTAACCACTCTCACCGCTTTTGCAATGTCTGGTCTTGTACAAATCATAGCGAAGATTAAACTTCCCACTGCTGATGCATACGGTACTTGAGACATCTCCATCCTCTCTTCTTCACTGCTAGGACTCATAGTGGAGAATAACTTGAAATTAACAGGAAGTGGAGTAGAAATTGATTTACAATCTTGCATGTTAAAACATCGTAAGATTTTCTTCAAATAGTAAGATTTTCTTCAAATAATTCTTCTGAGAAAGCCAGATCTTCTTATTAATTCTGTCTTGATAAATTTGCATCCTTAGAATCTTGTTTGCAGATCCTAAATTTTTTATTTCAAATTCCCTAGCCAACTGTGCCTTTAATTCTTTGATACGATCTTTGTTAGGGCCTGCAACCAACATGTCGTCAACATACAACAATAAGATAATAAAGTTATTTTTATCAAACTCTTAAAATATGCATAAGGGTCTGAATTAAGTCTGTTGTATCCAAGGCTCATGATGAATGAATCAAATCTCTTGTACCAATACCTTGGCGTATGTTTTAGACCGTACAAAGATTTGTTTAATCTGCAAACCAAGTTATCTTTTTTTTTTCTTCAAAACCTTTTGGTTGGAGCATGTAAATTTCTTCTTCAAGATCTTCATAAAAAAATATTGTTTTTACATCTAGCTGCTCTAGATGTAAGTTAAATATAGCGCTCATAGCCAGGACTATTCGGACTGTTGTAAGTCGAACTACAGGAGAAAATATTTTATTAAAATCAATATCTTCTTTCTGAGCATATCCTTTTACCACCAATCTAGTACGATATCGCTCCACTTGATCATCGCCATTTCGCTTGATCTTATAGACCCATTTATTTCTAATGGTCTTTCTTCCTTGTGGCAGTGACACAAGTACCCAAGTATTGTTCTTATGGAGAGCTTTAATTTCTTCTTGCATTCATGTCATCCACAAATATGCATCTGTACTATTTATAGCTTTATGAAAAGTTGATGGCTCTCCATCCTCTGCTAGAAGACAATATGCAACATTACTCTTTCTAATATACTCTGAGTGCCAAGTCGGTGGTCTTCTCTCATGAGTTGACCGTCGAACTTCTGGAACCTCGGACTCGACTGGTTCTTGTACATCATGCTCCGGTATTGCTTCAGATGAATTTGGATTATTTTCTACCTGAACAGCTATAGTTTCTGAGTCCTTCCTCGAATTGCTTTTTTTCTTCACTTTGTAGTTGATTCTCTACAAAGATAACATCTTTGCTGATGATAACCTTACGGGCAGTGGGATCCCACAAACGATACCTCTTTACTCCATCAGCATATCCTAAGAATATGTATTTTCTGGATTTTGAATCCAGTTTTGTAATTTCTTGGGCATTGTACATTACGTACACTGGACTCCCAAATATATGGAGGTTGGAATAATCAGCTGGCTTTTCAGTCCACATCTCCATCGTCTTTAACTGTATTACAGTTGATGAAGACCGATTCATCACATAACAGATGATTTTTACTGCTTCCATCCAAAAAACTTTATCCAGATTTACAATTGCCAACATAGCTCTTGTTCTTTCCAACAAAGTTCTGTTCATCTACTCCGCCACTCTATTTTGTTGAGGAGTATAAGCAGTACTGAATTGTATTTTGATGCTTTCTTGCTTGCAGAATGCAAGAAATTCATCGTCTGTGTATTCTCCTTTATTATTTGTCCTCAATCATTTGATCTTCTTTTCAGATTCAAGCTTGACTCACGCTTTGCAGGCTTTAAATGTTGAGAACACATCCGCCTTCTTTTTGATTGGATACACCTAACATCTCTTGGAATAATCATCAATAAATGACACATAATATTTTGCTCCTCCCATGGATTTAACTGGTGCTTGCCATACATCGGTATGAACTAGTTCCAGAATAGCCTTACTTCTAGAACTCGATATGTTGAACTTCAGTCGATGCTGTTTATTTGTAACACAATACTCGCAAAAGGGAAGAGCTATCAAATTAAGTCCAGGAAGCAGTTTCTAATCGGAGAGAATCTTCAAACCTCGTTCTGATATGTGGTCTAGTTTGCGATGCCACATCATGGTTTGTTCTTCTCCACGGCTAGTTGATGTCACACATGAATCAGCTTCCTGTAGGGTCTCTCCCTTGAGCATATATAGATTTGCAGCTATTTTTTCTCATTTTATCACAACAAGCGTCTCTCTAACAATCTTCATGATCCCGTTTTCGATATGGGTCTTGCATCTGAGCTCATCTAATTGTTCTAAAGACAATAGATTCTTCTTCAAGCCCTTCACATGTCGTACATCTTGAATGGTACGTATTGTACCATTAAATATTTTGATTTTGATAGTGCCAATACCAGAAATCTCCAAGGCATGATCGTTGTCATGAATACAGATCCTCCTGAGATAGGTTCATATTTGTGAAACCATTCTCTTCGGGAGAACATGTGCCAGGAGGCTGCTGAATCTAGAAGTCAGACATCAACAAATCTTTTTCTGTCTTCATCAACAATGGTTACTCCACTGTATAGAATTTTATTATCATCTGACGTGCTGACAACGCATCCTTGAAATGTTGATGGCTCTGAAGACTATTTATCACCACTCTTCTTATTGTGTTAGCACTCCGATTTTACGTGCCCCCTTTTTGCTACAATTGTAGCATTTGATATTCTTTTTACTTCTTGATTTTGATCTATCATGGGTAATACTCCTACTGGAGCCACGTTTCGTTGATCTTCCTCTCGTCACCGATAAGACCTCCGCTTGTTGCGAACTTACCTGCTTGTCGTTCTTGTTCTTGCGTCGATTTTCTTCCTCTAGAATAGCGACTGCAACGTTGTCGAAGACTAGATTGTCCATGAGGACGTTGTTTATTAGGTTGATGATGAGCTGATCATACGAGTCAGGTGAGCTCTGAAGTAGAAGTTCTGCACGTTCATTCACACCGATTGTATGCCCTAACGTTGTGAGTTAGAAAAACAGTATGTTTAGGATGTTGATGTGGTCAGTCCTCGATGTAGATTCCGCCATCCTCAGAGTGTAAAGTATCATTTTTAAGAAGATTTTGTTATGCATAGATTTTGCCTCATATAGCTTTATTAGAGTATCTCAGATCTCCTTTGCTGTCTTTTTCTCTCTATGCTTGACAGCACCCTATCTGCTAATGCCAGATAGAGATTTGTAATAGCAATCACGTTTATCTCATTCCACTTCTTATCATCTGTAATGTCATCTGACCTTACACCGATGATCGCTAGGTAATTATCTTTTCTCAAAATAGCCTTTATCTTCAACTTTCACAGTGAGAAATTACTCTCATTGAATTTCTCGATCTCGAACTTCGCCGCCATTGCTTCTACCACGAACAATAACTTCTTAATATTTCACGTAAACAATAACTGTATTTATGAACAATAACCGTATTCATGAATAGTACTATACTTGTGAATAGTATTATATTTATAAATAGTACCATACTTGTGACAAAGGGTAAATGATAGTCTAACTTATTTTCTGATGTGGATGATCCATCTTTGGTGGCAGCCATAGAGCATACGATAAATAGATACAAGCATCCTAAGCCTGGTTCTGATACCACTTGTTGGGACAAACCTGAGGCCCAATAGAGCAAGGTTCCGACGAATAGTAGAGCATAAGTAATAAAAATGAACACACAGATTTACGTGGAAAACCCCCTAAATGAATTTGGGGTAAAAACCACAGGTAAGGATAGAAAAATCTACTATGATGAAAAACTTAGGAGTTACAATCTCTCTTTTTATAAGGAGAAACTCTCTCTATTTTTTCTTTCTCACTCTTCTATATGAGGAGTTGTTTCTGGGATGGATTTTTCTTGAAGAGTTTTGGGCCTATTTATGGACAGCTGAAATCACTATGCATTAATTTTATAATATTATTTTATTATGCACTTTTCCTCATTTCAAAATATGCGGCTGCTTCCGGTGCGAATTATTTAGCGGGGCCCACTCACTTTTTCCTTTTTCAAGATTTTCGACTGACATTTACTTCATCAACTATGTTTATGACTAACCATTGCGAATATGTTTAACCGCTTCCATTAATTAGCTTTGGATATCATATTTTTTCAGCATCAGAGCAATCTGTGGACTGGATTCAGAAAGGAATTGTGTTCATGGTTCAGATTCTCCTCAATCTGCTGCAAGAGAAATTTCATTTTTCTTTGGAGAAATATCAGGTCAGTTACTTTGTGTGTACACTTAATACCTTGTATGTTTATTCACATACACAACCTTTTCGCAAACATAACCCTCAAGCCTACTTGACATATGAATTCTTCTTAGCCTTTCATTTGGAATGAAAGTCTCCATTCTTTATTAGAAAGCACACTCAGATTTTGATTCATCTCATAGTAATATGGTCATGGCTTATATGACTGGATGACATCTTAACATTTACCCTCCTCTTTACCGTCCGGCCCGGGGAGGTATTCTATGGCTGATCACCATGTATGAAGCTCAAAGTTCTAGGTATTGATCTTATGCTTTTCATAAATTCATTTTGATTGTTCTTTGCTTGAAATAATAAACTTGTGTGAGCGAAACCTCTATGCATGGTGACAGAGGATGCACAATGGAAGTGGTCCATGTGGTGTCCTGTTCTACTTATATTCTCATCACCACCATCATCATAATCATCATCATCTAAATCTTTTGCAATTATGGAATACAAGGCTCTTTGAAAGGTAAAACAAAATTTTAGATTTAGGTGTTTTTACCAGATGTCAACCCTTCAATTTGGTATCGCAACAAATCATAATAATAACCACAGATTGATCAAGAAAGAACACAAACAAAGAGAAAGCAACCACAGAAATACAAGGATATAACTAGGTTTGACAATCAATGTGCTACGACCTCAGAGTACAACCAGGTCAAGGTTCCACTAATGATTTCAATCTCTCAAATCCTAATTTCACATCCCTGTCATCTCTATTTTTCTCTATTTTGGACACAGAAAACAATAGGCGACTGAAGATACATATTTATTACATAGGGTTTCTGTCTGTAGGGCCGAAAATACAAAATACAACCTCATATACAAACACTAAATAGTCTCCTCCAGGACCCCTGCAGTCGGGATGCAATTATGTAGGTGTCCACTTCTGGGTTCCATTGCTCCATGTAAATCAGGCTCCACAAACAATACTTGGTGCCAAACTTCATGGTTGAGGAAACAATAGAAAGCTCACTTAAATCCTAGAAGCACCACTGGCAATTAGAACAATGTGACCTTATTGGACTTGGGTGATGCAGTTCAATATTTCCAACCATGGAGCAACCTCAAAATTTTTTCTAAACTAGAAAGCCAGTCCAAGCCTATTTATTTTTGCTGGAATCAATAATCAGATTACCATGTACATGGCATACTGTGGCCTTTGACAAACAGTCTCTTCTATGATGAAGCCGTGCCATGTCAGGCACATGTATGGGATGCAACACTTTTGCCACATCATTGCTTGTTTTGTGTACATTTTAGGATTGCTAATGTCTCGGTGTCGTGTCTTGTGATTTCATTCTAGCATGTCTGTATTCCTCTGATATTCGTTTAGCGTTTTAGGACTAATGTGGTGAGTTAGTTATCATGTTAAATAGGTCCATCTGTCTTCAACTATGCCAAAGAGACAAGGTTGATCTGTGAAGGCAAAAAGAAGTGAGATGACTAGCTTTACTCTCTCTGTCTGAAGGCAAAAAGAAGTGAGATGACTAGCTTTACTCCCTATGTCTAAAAGTGAAGAAAATATGACTGTTTAGACCATAAATTCATAGTTACTGCAGTTCTCAGATTTTTAAATAGATGAATATGCCTTTTTAAGTAGATTTTGATAAATCTTTTGGAGGTATAAGAACTACACAACAACAACAACAACAACAACGCCTTTATCCCAATCTCTTTTGGGGTCGGCTTCATGAATCTTTTTCTCTCATTCAGTTCTTAAGGGTAGTCTCAGTCCTCCATTAAGTTAGCCATTACCATATCCTTTTTAATTGATTCTAACCGAGTTCCCTTAGGCCTACCTCTAATCCTCTTTGCTTCAATTAATTATAATCTTATCACTTGTCCTAACCATGCTCTATTATTTCTTTCTGATTAGCCTTTGGGATCTAACACTCAAATATGTTTTATCAGCCATGTACAAGATAGAACTGCTTTTTATTGTTAAAATTGGAATGGATCTTATTTTGTCTACTGCACCCTCTAATGATCTTTCAATCAGATTTTATGCTTTCTGGATACTAGCAGATGTTTGCTTATTATGGTATTTGTTTTCAAATTTTGTTTTTTTATTTACATTACTGCAACTGATCTAGTGGATAACTGTAGCGTTATTTTTTTATTGTCACATTATTTTTTACTTTGTTTCTGCAGGTGATGCTGGTTCAATACATGATGAACTGTAGAACTTGATTTAACTCACGTATTTGCCGACAGTCAAGGTTGCTGGGGACCTCCCTTTTGCAGGCTATTATGGCTGGAGTGTATGCTTTCTTCTTCTATTAAGAGTTTAATATTGTTAGCTTTTGATTTATCTTTTTACAAACCATTTGTGCTTTCTTTGTTTGCTTGACTACTTTGTGAAGGCTAAAGATCGTATGATGAAATTTTCTTTCTGCTTTTTCATGCAAACTATTTTTTATACGGATGCAGAAGCATCTAGTTATGAATTTTGTTGATGCAGAAAAAAAATGGTTTCTGACAACTGTACACGTCCAGCAAAATACTTACCTTGATCCCCTGACTATATCAGCTGTTATTATTCACACATTGCTCTATGACCCAAGTCTGACTTGACTGAAATTAAGGGAAAGAAGAAACTCAAACTGATCTTTGATAGACATCCCTTCATGAATACAGATAGAACAGAGGGTTATTCTTGAAAGATTTCTGGTTAGTATTAGGCAAAAAAGTGGAAGGTTGGAGACGGTCAGTCACGGCTTTCCAAATTATGTGATATACATTGTTAAGTCATAGCCCACCAACTTAAGCTTTGGAATAGAAATAGTAGCATGGCATGGGAATTGGCACTAGGCTTCTAGAGGTCTTGGGTCTAAATATATTTACCCACATCCAACTGTTCTGTCTTTCTGAGCGATTCATCTTTTTATTGAAGGATTTTTCACATTGAGTGAAGGGAAAGGCCCATGTATGGAAGAGTTAAGATTGTTAGATGTACATTATTTTACCACAATCCACAAGCTTTTGTATAAAGTCATCATCGGGCATGCCTTCCTAATATTTTCTTCTATATCATTAGTTTCTATGGATGAGTTTCTTATTGTGTTCTTGAGTGCTTCTTTTCCCTTTTTCTTTTAACTTGCTTTTTTCAAAAAAAAAAAAAAAAGGAGAGGCTGAGAAACAAAAAAGTATTGAACTGTGCCTCTCGCTATTAAGTGAACATCTGATTACTACATGGTAGCAGTGCTTTTCTTGGTTCTGGCTTACCAAAAAGAAGCAATAATTCATGGAATCTTTTTTTGTATTACTTGGGTACTATCAGATACCAGAAAATAGGAGAATTGTACCTTTTCCACCTACGTATTGCACATAACTTGCGGTATGGGGGTTACATGTTTAGTACTGTTTCTGTCATTGCATTTCAATATTTGTTACCCTTGGATGATTTGGAACTTACTTGTGACTCAGGATCAAGGCATAGTATATATTTAACTGGTTAAGAAGAAGAAAAGAAACCAATATTAGGAGGAAACAGTATGGTTTTATATAATGTTGTAACTGGGAAATTTTTGTAGTTCACTCTCTGGCTTCATGTTGAGTTTGCTCGACCAATGTGGTATGTTCCTCTGCTTGCTAACCTGGCTTGCTCCTCCTCCTGCCCATAGTTTCGGCTGTCATGCACTATCACCCACTGAGACTGTCACCCCTCAAGCTCACAATTGGTCATATAAATTATTCGATACAACACATCAAACGGGCACTTTCAAAGTTAAAAAAGTTTTACATCATATGATGATGATGCTCAAAGTTAGTTCTTCCATACAACCCTTCCACTTTTGGAAACATCTTTGTCCTTTTGAAGGTGCATTGGCCCTTCAAAAATCCTCGGTAGTCTTGTGTTGACAAATCACATGGCTTCTTTGCCAATTATTTCTTAAATTGAGGCACCTAGCCGCTTCTTACTTTACGAACCTTCTCTCTCTCTCACAGTGAAACTTGCATCTCGGGGAAGAAGAGTATGCGACTAGAAGACCACATGGGAAAGCTGTTCATCTCTTATATCTAGATAAAAGAGTTCAATCCCTATGAAACTATGAAGTATGAACCTTCTTTCTCGCTCATCTAGCTTTCATACGTTTGAAGGAGGTTAAGTAAAATACTAAAATGCAAGATAAGATTTGAATACCCTAATACAAAAAAGCTGTTCATTCTTGCCTCTAAATATTACCTTTACCTAAAAAAGCAACTAGATACACCTTTTCAAGTAAAAGTCATCATCATATGTAATGTCAACAATGTTTCACGCATCATCTATTTTTTTTATTACTGTTTTCTTGACTTTTTTCTGGATGTTACTGCAAATATAACTTTTACGCTCCTTTCACTTTTACCTCATGAATCCTCTTGTTTTAATTTATTTGGCCGTAATTACTCTTCCTACTTTTGTTCCTGTTGTCTCCAAAATTTTAGACATCCACTCTTGCACTGTGACAGCTTTGTCTAATTGCTGTTACAATTTTGTTACCTTACTGATATTTTGAAGACAACCGTACCTGTAGTCTTACTGGATGTCTTTTATACAAAATGCATCTCTATTTGCCAACCACCTCACAATCTAACTAAAAGATACGTTTAAAAAAAAAATCTTTCTTAAAATATTGCAGTATATTCGTCCAATGAATATAAATATTATCAAATAGAAGGTTGCTTGTGTGCCAAGGATTTTGGAGAGCGTGGACTCACACGTGGAGACGTGACAATCTCAGGGGTTCCATAAGGTTCCATAGATATAATGTATGTCATTAGGCATATAATATGTGAAGTTTGAGGTCAGCAGTGAAATCAATTGATGCCTCTGCCACCAATAGGGGTCTTGAGCTTGGGGGCATGCAGGCAAATGATGCTTTAGGTCCGCAAACCTAGATGACTATTGTCCCTAAACTTGGGGTTAAGCTCACTAATTATAACTGCTGCTCTCGATGATTATATGCACCTGAGTCAACTTCGTAGAACACACGCGTCGGCGCGTCGAGGTGCGATCGTGTTGGAATGACAACGATACGACGCTTGTACTATCGACTGAGGGTGAAATTGTAATTTGATGATGGATGAACTTACTGTTCACATGTGTCTGAATGGGTCTATTGGCTCATGGAATATGGTGAAATATACCAGATCTGTTGAAAGAGTGAATAGCCTTCTCATCAAAGAGTCGGTAGTGTTCACCTACCCCGGTGTTACAGTGTTCACCTACGCCGATGCTACAGTGTTCACCTACCCCTATGAGAAAACTTATAAATACCCCCCTAAGTTTGATTTGTAAGGTATCTCAGTAGCAGATAGAGAAAGAGAAAGATACATATATAAGTAATATCATTTAGAGATCTTAGGAGAGAGTTTGTAAGAATTCTTGGAAAGTATCATTATCAAGAGGAGTGTTCTCTTTTATCTAATTCTTTTGTAACCTCGAAAGGAATATAAAGGAATTGAGCGTCGTCGTTGCACCGTGGAGTAGCTCCGTAAGAGTGAACCTCGTTATATCTGTGAGTACTGTGATTGAATTCGTGTTTGCTGGTTTTATCCTGTGATTCCAAGATCGTTTGGGTGTGTTTTGCATCTCCGTTTGAGGCGTTCTTGTCGGTATGTATCCTAGCAAGATCAAGCCCGAATCTCACATATTACTATTGCCGATACTCTCACTGGTCGATTGTGGCTTTTAAAACAAAGAGCCTGGGGGTTGGCACAGATTCAGCTTTGTTGGGTGCACACACAGTCCAAGCCTAACTCAGCATTTAACCTTATTGAGATAAATGCATGTCATGTTGGGTCTTGATGAGTTGACATGTACATTATCAGCTATGGTCCAATATGTTGGAAATGTGCACTCTTGGGCGAATTCTATAGACGGTAGTTGATTATAATAGATTCTTTGTTCAAATCTTGCAATCTTCAACATATTTACCTATTGCCATGCTCGTCTTCCCATGTACTACTTGCATCCTCATATGCTATGTACATTTTCATGTTAGTGTAAAAGTTATTGGCGCTCGGTGGTTGGTACATTTTGACATTTAACAAAGGGAACTCCAGCTTGCGAGACTGATGTTTTTGTTTTCTTTCCTTTTTCTTTAAGCTCACAAACATGTTTTTTTTTTTTTTCCTTGTTCTCTTAGTCATAGATTTGATGCTAGATTCCTATCGCGACCCACCCCCAATTGCTCCACCGAGCCTGACGCTGGTGAGTAGCGACGGATATAGTGACAATAAGTTGGGGTTGAGGGATGAACTGATGCACCTAAAAATGACACATGGGCTTCAATATCCCTTTTCTTTTGGAATCGGTATGTGTTGTTCTGCACTCTATTATTAGGAGGAGGAATGCAAGCTCAACTGAACACCGTCCTTGAGCAGACACGTGGCCTCCATGCCGTATGATTTCACATGCTTGTTCTTGAGTACTGGTGTACTACAATTTCGATGACTGGGTTCCGGCTCAGCGGTTGATCCCAACCAGCGCTGGTCTGGTTGAAACCCATGCCCACCCAAACCCAGTGAGGACCCAAGAACTATAAGACAAAGCACGGTTCAAACGTCTCCATTTTGCTGCATTCATCCTGTTAATACGCATCTCTTAATAATAGAGCCTCTCTCTCTCTCTCTCTTGTAAGTGATCATCGACATAGCATATAAAAATCCAGTTTACAATTGTCCAATTGGTCTGCTCAGTGCCGGTTCGGTTGGCGAGGGACAAGATCGCATGCTTGAGTCGGACCCGCATCCTACTAACTTTTGGCGCCCATCCATTAGCCCTTTTAATTTATCCCCTTCGTTGTCACCTGCGATGGAGGCTACGAGGATGTATACCGAGATTGGCATGCAAGCGGGTGGGACCTAAACGCCTCTTTTCAAGCAGGCAGTAGAGTCGTCCTGAGAATTTTAACAACAGGAGATTCAATGAATCAGTTTCAAGCAGTTTCCTGTACTGTTCGTGGCTACGATCGTTGATTACTTGCATTTTAGCATGTGGGTTTCCGTATGGATCGTATGGACGTTGTGTGTTTGTGTTGCTAGGGATTTGGCTTCTTTCGGGTAAACAAATTATCTCTTGTAGGGGAGTTTGGGTCCCAACTTGCAGACGCAAGTTGTGCAATGCCCTGTTGTAAATGCGTGGGGAATCTTCATTTTATTGGCATTGTAACTTGTAGTTGTAGGCTTTGCTTAGGATAGTGAGCGTCCTTACCCTCGCTTAGTAACTAGTTGGAAATCCTTTCTTTTTTTTTTACCCTTTTCTTTTATTTGCTTCTTTATTTAAATGTAATTTCCTGTCCAAACTCTTTTCTTCTACAGAAGAAAATTCCTCCCACAATTTTTACTTGAGGCATACTACGCCTCGTATTTGTGCCAAAGTTTATGTCCGAGCTGGATAGATCTCATGACTTGGAAGTCTCTGCTAGAAGGCGTGATGCCTAAGTTTATGTCCGAGCTAACAGATCTCATGACTTGGAAAGGCTCTGCTAGAAATGAGGACGCTCCTGACAGAAATGCATTAGTCGTCGTTGGTAAATGCTGTCATGGTCTTCTGCAAGTTGGTAATATGGCACAGGGAAACTCTCGATCTATTTATAGATTAATAAAATAAACTTAATCGGAGGGGTATATTAGCGATAATGAAATTTGAGAGGTACGAGAAACCAACGTGGGAGATTTGGGGGGTAATTTAGCAAATATCTAGATTTAGGTGGCAATTTGCAAATACAATAGGTTTAGGGGGTATGTAGGCAAAAAAAAAAACCTTTATTCTTTTCCACAGTAGGGTCACAATGATTTTTCTTTTCTTACTCAATTGAAGAGACAAGAGATCATTTTAGTATAGTATTGGACAGTATCATGAGCTTGAAATTCTAACTAGCCCTCTTAACATGATCACAGATCTACAGAAGATCTTATGAACCCTTACTAACCTCTCGTTGTCTTACAGGGAACCTGCATTTAGCTCGCTATGTCTCCTTATTTCAAATGAAGCAATTTAAACCCAAAGCCTCATAATTAAGGTAGTTTATGCTGCCCGTGCCAAGCTCGCCTTACATAGCTCGATTCAAAAGGGGCTCCGTGATTTTCTGCCATACGGTCGCATCCCTGCAGAAGATTTCTATCGGTATTGATCCGTGTATTCGTTTTTGCCGTTGTGCGTAGGACGTCCCGCATTATACAATTACCCTGAACAAAACTGATCACATGATATAATACTACTGTTTTGATAGATATTATTATCTACGTTCGACAACTCTCCGCTGCCTCTTACACATTCTTATCAAAGCTACAGGTATCGATCCCTGGAAACTTCCAGCTGAAAGTTCTTTTAAGTTATTTAAACCCTTGCTTTGATGTATAAATTGCGTCCCTCTTACAGCCACGTAGTCATGCTAGAAGCTGCCCCACCAATGGGCAGCCAGGATCATAATCCACGTGCACAAGTCGTGTCCTTGTCATGCATCCGATCATGATTTCCCGGGGGAAAAGCTGACTTCTTTGTTGGCCTTTGAGAAAGTACTCCTTTACAAAATCCAAGGGGAATATAAAGAGAGAGATCTCTGAACATTCTCTAGACAGCGACTCTAGTCCAAATAGGGAGCGAAAAAAGTAGGAGCCAACTACACTCCAAAAGAGTGGACCACCAGAGTACTGCACATTGCTGAGCTACGTACACTGACAGTTAAGCTGCATGGGCACCACTGTCTGATGAGAGTTCCTTTCACGTGTGCGAAATTTAATCAAAGATCCTTCACCGAAAAAAAATTTATTAGGTCACATAATTTAGTTTATCAGGGAGTTGAATGTGCACAAACCAAACTAATTAGAGGGTTGCATAACTTTGGACATTCATGTTCTATATCTCTGAAGGAAAATACGATCATCTTTAAGACAGTTTAGGTTCATTTAGGATTCACATACAACTATATACAGTGATGTGGTTATATCTAAAATTTATTCTTTCACAAATAGACCTTCTTAATTCATCTTTCTTTCTCTAGTATTTCGCACGTCGATTTTAGAAGTAAATTATCGTAACGGCGCCCAGGCCAGGCGTTATCATATTTGGAGCGATGCTTCCGCCGTGCTTTGTCACAATATTAGGGGAGCTGGACCGCCCTTGCAGCTATGGGATGAGGATTCCTGAGTGTGTTCTGTCTTAGTGGTCCTATGTTTGTTCAACAGTAAGCTTTTAGTCATTCTACACCAAAAAGAATACTTTCTTAGGTATTATTGCTTGTGGGTGATGGTTCATATCATACTGTTGACCCCTGAGATGGTTGCAAAGTTATCTAATTAATCGATATCCAAAAAAAAATTCAGTTTCCAACTGATAACTCAAAAGCAATAATTGTTTAGCGCGTTATGGCCTGAATATTTTAAACAGTTCTGTGGTAAGATAATTTCCTCAGTCACTGCACGTCTGCAAGTGTAAAATAAGTAACTACAGAGTAAAAAGAAATGACCAGTATACTATCTTTTGTTATTTATTTATTTATCTATGTTTGTGTCGAATGGCCTTAACCTGACATGATCTTTTTTGTTACACAAATAGAATATATGCTTTTCTCTTTCTGTATTATAACCTTTGCTTTCCATCTCATAGGGTAGAAGTATTGATGACATTTCTGGTGAAACTTACTGTACAATGACAAAGTTGTATATTCAATGAGCTTAGATCTTTTTCATTTATTAGATTCCTGTTTAATTTGTGATTATGGGGGCACCACAGATGTTTTGTTGTCGTTGAATATGATAATAATCTTTGCTTGCTCATTTTACCTACTCTATTTCTTAACTACTATCATTCTTCTTGATGTATAAGTGGATTTGTCTTGTCCAACATTGTTAAATTGAGATAATCTCACAATTGATACGTTGCACCTCAAAAATAAAAAAACAACTAAACACATTGTCAGGTCACTATCACCTAACCACGACATAATTTAGATAAAGTAAAAAAGAACTAACATTTGTCATATTTACAGATGTGATGCTAATATGAAACTAATTCTACACTAAACTCAAACATTCTTCTTGTTGTAATGTTAAGGATGTTGGTCCATTTTCCCCCTTTCTGCTAGCGCTTTTTTTTTTGGATTAATTAGCATCCACTTTAATTTTTCAGTTTTACTCTGTGATCTAGATGAAGGAAGTTAATATGAATCGTACGAAAACACCATTCAAATGGATAGAAATAAGAGAGGGCGAGTCTTGGCGCAACGATAAGGTTGTTGCCTTGTGACCTGGAGGTCATGGGTTCAAATCCTGGTAACATTCATGTTGTAATGTTAAGGATGTTGGTCCCTTTTTCCCCTTTCTGCTAGCGCTTTTTTTGTGGATTAATTGGCATCCACTTTAATTTTTTAGTTTTACTCTGTGATCTAGATGAAGGAAATAAATATGAATTGTACGAAAACAACTTTCAAATGGATAGAAATTAGAGAGGGCGAATCTTGGCGCAACGGTAATGTTGTTGCATTGTGACCTGGAGGTCATAGGTTCAAATCCTGGAAACAGCTTCTTCGCATGCAGGGGTAAGGCTGCATACATCTGACCCTCTCTAGAGCCCACAATAGTGGAAGCCTCGTGCACTGGGCTACCCTTTTTTTAATGGATAGAAATAAGTTGTTCACATGTAACAACATGAAAGCATTTTTCTTGTTTTCTTTTCTTCTTTTTCCTTTTCTGCTACCAGGTTATAATTTATCATTTGTAACCTCTTACTGAAATAAAAGGACAAAATCCCTAAAGGGTAGAGGATTGTGCATGATAATTGTTATGGTGCTTTCACTCGTCCGAGTATAACTCGACGCCAAGAGCACTTTTTATGTGGTACGCCCCAATCAATTTGGTGGCTAGAGACCAATAAAGTTGATTTTCTCGACTTGAGAGGCGGTACCAGTCGACCTCCTTTATCGAAGGGCGACCTCCTTTATCGAAGACGACTCACCAGGAGTCCACCGACCATTTGACTAACGTCTCACGAGGACGACTCGAAATGTGTTACTTCTCGGCGAAATTAGATGATAACTTCTGGTTCGAGCTTATCCTCGCTAATAACTTGTCCATGTCGCATTTAATATTTATCATGCATCATCATGCCTCTTGCCTCAATTGTCTTTATGACTCATCGGACCACGTGGGTCACCGCCATACTCCATCTCACTTCTCATTTAATGCTGAGGAGATCCTCCCTCCAGTCGCCAACCGACACCTGTAAAGCATAGGCTGACTCAGCTGTCAGCCTGCACTTTGTCACCGCCCTCCTGTGCTTGATCGAAGTGACTAATCTACCCTTTATGTGCCAAGTATAAATACAAGTATTATTCTAACACGAAAGGGGTTCGCAAATCTAATCCTCTTACACATACACTGCACAATTACAAGAACATAGTTCTTCCTTCACCCCATAAAAGGATCAACTAACTTGATCGTTGGAGGTATAACGGGGGAACCAATCCCCGCCCTCTCACGAATTTCTGTATGTGCAGATTGTTCAGTGCTCCTACTCAAGAACCAGTCATAAAGTCAGAGAAGAAAGGGGCCTCTCTTCAGTACTGAACAAACCGATCATAGCCTGGATTAAACTGTGTGATCATATTAACCATCAACAACAACTTGTGCCTTATAGGAAGTACTCCTACAGCCAGTAGCATCCATAGGCCATCATGAAACTTTGCAGCACTTATTATCATCGGAATAACTATTTAACCCTCTGAAAGCATCCATTAGCTGATCCTGATAGTTACTTGCTGTTCCTTTCTTCTAATGCAGCAAAGCCTCTACTTCTCTCGCTAGCGCTTCCAATTTTGCTCTCTCTCTCTCTCTCTCTCTCTCTCTCTCATATTACCCACAAAGTTTTCGAGTTTGGGATTGCAACTATGAGGGTAAGAATTTCAGAAACTTGTAGGCTATAACTAGCAATGATGATGCAGGTTATTTAGGAGGTTGGGTTCTTCATTGCTTTTCCCTTGTAATTTGTCATTCTGTTGATTGGTTTCATTACCTTATGGATTATAGATATTGAGCTGGGTACAAAACAAGCTCAGTGGAAAACAAGAAAAGAAGAGATTTGATGTTGGTTCTTGTTCGTCTCGTCGTAAGTGCCCTTTAACTCCTATGATTTTTTTTATTTGGGAGAGAGCAATAGATGGTGGATTCTGTCCTCTGTTTCTTTCAGTTTTGATTTGTATTGCAGTGGGTTCTATGCAAAAGATTAAAATTTTGAGAAGTGTTTCCCATTTTGAATGGCATATAAATAAATTTTCTTGTTAGTAAGATAACCATTCTCCCTCTTAAGATTTCTTAAGATTATACTTTAACTGATGGTTTCATGTCATCTCGAATTCTAGTAATAAGATCCACAATTCTATTATTTTGCATCTTTTATTTGAATGTAGGACACAGTCTTTTCTTCTTAATGGTTGCAGTGTTTTTTTCTTGTATATTTTTACTGAATAGCATCTCTATCAAGTAGAACTCAAAAGGACTTACTTTGGGACATTTCTATTCTGTCTTTCAGCTGAAAAGCTCAAAATGTTGTTAAACACTGCTAAAAGTTTATGGAAACAAACTTCGTGATTCTGTCAAGTATTATTAAGTTTGATTAGAACTATAGTACTTTGACCCTTTTTCTTCTTTTTTTTTTTTTTTTTTTTTTGGGAGACCTAATACTTGTTTGGTGTCGAAATTTGTTTTTATCATTCAAATTTTTGCTTTTGCTGGAATATTACCCTTGGTGGTGTACTTGGGATATTGAACATAATTGAAGTACTGGAAGTCTATGGAACTTCAAACATTTTTATATGAGTAATCTCCATATTTTGTAAGTTTATTTTCCTAATTTTTTTTATATAACACGGGTCTTTTCTGTAAAGCTAGACTCTATTGATAGGTTTTGAGACTAACCTTCTAGATATATGGTGACCTCCTGCCTTCTCATCATTTTTTTGCCAATATTTTCTAACAGCTTAGAAGGTTAATATCATGCTGATAACTCTCCGAGTAAATGCTCGTAGAATTTCCTTAATTATTCCATTACCACCTTCCAGTCTAAACTTTGGTAAAACGGTCGACCTAATTTTTTGACTGAAAAAACTAAAAGGGTGATGAATTCATATTACCAGGTGTTCTTTCCATTGACCGAATAATCTAATTCTAACAACCTAATAGAAGACATCCTTCGTGGTTTTCTCATTAGTTATTGCCTTATTGGATCTATAGTTTATAAATCTAACTGCAATGACCTGCTTGTTATTAATCACTGTGGCGCCTTGAAGATCATGTTGTCTAACATCAACATTTTGTACAATTCTGACCATTGTATTTATCTATGATCGATTCGCGTGCAAGGGTTTAAAAACAGGTCCTACAGAAAGTTTGGTCCTAAAATATCCGGTTGCCTTTCATTCAACATTAGATTTGTATGGACAAGGGGGTGAGGGGTATCTGAAAATGTGCGGCAAAATAAATAAATCTCATGGGTAAGTTATGTCAACCAATTGGAAAACAAAAAAGTTACAGTTCTTGTAATTAGCAAAAAGGGGTCATGGTGAAGATTACAATGCACCACGGATGTAAAGCAAATTGGTGAAGAACCCCTCGACTCAAAACTCAAAGCAAATGTCTAGTTATATATTATTATCTGAAGGTCTTTGATCAATAAAATCTTTGAAGCATCCAAGTAAGTGAGAAGCTTTTCTAGGACTAATTAAAATCTAAAACTTAGGGGTACAGCTAATGGGAGATTTCACGTCAAGTTGGCATTAATGGACAAAACACTGATCCATACTGATCTTTGGGTTATTGTCGTATTTGTTCACATATTGATAAAATGCTTCATGTTGTTCACATATTGATAAAATGCTTCATGCTTGAACTCTTTTTTTAATTTGCAGTTCATGGAACTGTTAATCTTGATGGTTATTATATTATTATCCACTCAAACTTAATCCAGTTTTTGTACAGGCACATCTATTCCTGATGATCGCAAAGAAGAATTCAGCGATTGGCCTCAATCGTTGCTTGCGATAGGAACTCTCGGTAACACTGACCTTAGCGAAGAGGCACAAAGACCTAATTCTTCGGAGGACTCACATTCATCTAAAGAGTTAGACTTCTCTCTTGAAGAAGTAATCAAACTACAGAAAGAACTAACAAAATTATTGTCACGCAAGCCAAAGTCTAGCGTAGATGGGTCAGAAACAGGAGGGGAAAGAGCTAATCTTCCATTGAATAGATTTCTAAATTGCCCATCAAGCTTGGAGGTCGATCGAAGAGATTGTGCTAAGTTTTCAGATGATCAGGAGAGTGGAGAGAATAACGGCGACCTGTCACCTGATAGCAGGATTATATTAAGTAAAGCCAAGGATATATTAGCAGACAAACGTAATGCAATTAAGCAGAAATCATTGTCATTTCTTCTTAAAAAGATGTTTGTCTGTAGTAGTGGATTTACTCCGGCTCCAAGCTTAAGGGATCAACTTTCAGAGACAAAGATGGAGAAGGTAACACTTACAAACTCAAATGAATGCCATGTCTTTGTTAAAATTTTGGCAGCCTAACCTTTTGATTTTTTATGGAAATTTCTATATAGTTAGTGAGGATTTTACTTCAAAAGAAGATACACCCTCAAAGTTCTGCAGCAATATTCGCAAAAAAGTACTTGGAGACAAAATCAGTGGGAAAATTGGAATACAAAGACAAGGCACAAGAGAAGGAAGAAGATGGATCTAAATGGGTCAAGACTGATTCTGATTGTATGTTAATTTGCAAAAGTAAATTTAATCAGTCAAGGGGGAAAAACTTCTATTCATGGACTAATTTGATTTTTTTTTTGTTTTTTTGTGTACAGTTATTGTTTTAGAGATCTAGCCGACCATACATACAACTTGAAAACTTTCCAAGGTGAGTCGCCCAAGCTAAGCTTTTTTCTCTAGATTTAACTTGTCTCTTGATACTAATATCATTCGTGATTTCATAGACTTCTATTCACAAATTTTCTTTTCTTTTTTTTTTAACCAGTGATTTTGAAGTGCCAAAATTGACTTGAATGAAACTTTTGAAATTGAAACTCGATTACATGCTATATATGATGCATGATTATACTGGTCTAAATTGGTTTGCAACGCAACCGATAGTTTTTGAGCATGTAAATAACACCATCTCCCCTGAATGGAAGTGAACGTTCTCCTTAACAAGATAAATGCCTTTTAGGTTAAAAATTCCTCTAATCTCGTCATAATCAGATTTATAATTGATGCTTTTAGAAATGATATCACTACTAACTTCTATTTGATTCTTTGTTCTATTGTATCTGAGAAATTAGCTTGAAGAATTATGACTCTTGATACTCACATAGTTCCCAAATTTATACCACTAAGCTAACTCATCCTTTACTGTATCTTCTCAGGTACCTTTGCATCCTGTATTAAATGATTGAGATCAATAATAATAAATATTTGGGGCCAAAATTCTAAAGTGAAGCCTTAGTGGTGCCAGGGATGAAAATTCTCCAAATTCAATATATGACAGTGCTCACAAGAACATGCTTCACAGGGAACTGCTAGATCAAGAGACAAGTTTATCTTACCTTGCTCGTGTCGAAGCACTTCGACAGGCATAAATGTCCTATGAGTTCCCAATATGTTCACTGAATTTATTTTAGAGTGGCCACAAATATGTAATATATGTCCACTGCTGAATTAACGATGTCGTCGAGTGTCTTTTTTTGGGAATATGCAACGTACCTCATGTCCCATTTTTTTTAGCAGCAGATCATGAATCGTTGACATAAATTATTAAATGTGAAGCTATCAAATGAAATAGATACTAGAAAATGAATGAGAAGCAGGCCTGTGTGCTTGAGGTTTTGAGGTGGTGTTATTCACACAAGTTATTTTGCTCATACGACCATGTCCATGATCGACATTGTTAATAATAGAAATAAAAAAATGACACAATGAGCAAGAAAATTTGATGAATTTCTACTTGCTCCTCAATATATTTGTTTGAGATAAGGAACGCTAATAATCAGATACTCTACAAATTAGTGAGTTCGGATTTTGAAGTAGATCCTACATTTTATTGTGAGCTGAATTCAACCTGCAATTTTGAAAATTTTGTGTTGCAAAATGGTAGGTATATCTATCTTTTAGTGATGTTAGATAAATAGATAGAAGATAGACTGGTAAAAAGTTAACTACTTTCGAGTAATATTTCCTTATGCAAAGTACTCTTAAGATTCTCATTAATGCTGAAGTATTTATGGATTCTAATTTTGGTTTGAGTTGTGAGATAGACCCAACATTTTAGAAGAAATTTTTAAAACCGACCCAAATCATGTTTTTATTTTCAAAACTGACCCATTTTTATTTATTTATTTATCAAAATCGACTCACTTTTTGCCACGTCAGCTTAATCTCATTTCCTAATTAGTCGGGGTTGCCAACCCCGACTATTTAGGACAGCAAAAACCGGGTTTAAGGTTTCTAATTGTGGTTTAACAATCTCCTAAACAGTCGGGGTTGCCAACCCGACTGTTTAAGAATAGGATTAAGCTGACGTGGCAAAAAGTGGGTCGATTTTGATAAATAAATAAAAAATGAGTCGGTTTTAAAAATAAAAACATGGTTTGGGTCGGTTTTGAAAATTTCTTCCGACATTTTATTTTCTTCTTCTCTCTTGCCGTTCGTCTTCTTTTTCTCCTTAGTTTTCTCTGCTAATTATTCTACCGCATCATGCTTAAAAAAAACTGAAAAGAATTTTAAAAGCAAAAAATCGAAAAGACCACTGGTCGGTTTCAACTGATGCCTCTAAATTCAACGTGCACTTTTATATTCTGTACGGCGGTACCTTGCAAAAAATCACCAATATGTCACATTACTACAATTTTTCTTTTTCAGAGTTTAGGTTTGATGACCGCAGCAATAAGAATTAAGTGCTGAGTAGTTTCGCCATCTCTCCTGTGACAATGTTGCCTAGATTATTATTTGGATTTGGGCCTTGGGACTTAAAAATCTACGGTTAACTTAAATCCAAATCCTGTGTTTGGGCTTATCGTAGGCTCAAGAATTTTAAGTCAGGTTAGTTTGACATGGGTCCATAAGCAAAAAAAACCCAAAATGCTGTGATGATTTCACTACTACTCGTATGGGCACTTCTACACTACTACAGAGAAAAATATGAGGCCCATTATCTTTATCTTTTTTTTTTTTCAAAATTAAAGACAGTATCCGTCTACTCAAAGCTCAGATGTTCTCTTTCCAGCCAAATTTAGACAAAAAATAAAGAGAGAGAGAGAAGATAATGATGATTTCATTTAGAATAAAGACATAAAAAGAATATATTAACTTAGTTTGACATGGGTACATAAATCGGCATCCTTATATTGACTAGCCACAGAATATTTCAAATCCGTTTACTCCCATAATCACAAAACATTGATTAATTTTCAAGACTGTTATAATGATTTTAAAAATAATTGTCATCTTATACTTCATAGATTATACTAGTATCTAAAACAACTCATAGTTATATATTAAGTTGAAAAATAGTTGTAGATAGAATTGCACCGATACTCTTTGCCTTCAAAACGAACATGAAGGGTTCAAAATTGTTATAGATAAGATAAGTATTCCTAGTTTCATGCATACGTACCAACTTAGAGAAAACTAAGTACAAAATTTTCAACATCCATGAAAATAGAAGAGTTGACTAATACGGAGACCCTCATTAATAAAGTTATACAAACGTTAGATTTAAAAAAATGGTGCTGCTACATGGACCCCAAATAGGAGACCTAAGAGCGAGATATGTGAGGTGTCCCCTACATGATGCATCATACATCATACGGGGGACACCTCACATGTCCCGCCCTTGGGTCCCCTATTTAGGAAGTGAGGCATTTTTGTTAAAAAAATCAAAAATAATGGCTGATCCCTAGTGATTTATCAACCATCGTGCTTTTCCTAGCTACAAACTCCGAGAGTTTTGACTTTCCAGTTGCTTTCCTATCCTAACTTACCCACCCCAAATGGACCGTGTTTACAAATTTAATTTCAAATCTAGATATTTGCTAATTTATCCCCATCCGCTACGGTACCCCTCCGATGTGGTAGAGTTGAGGGGTAAAGTTGCAAATACGATATATGAGAGGGTTATATAGGTCAAAAAAGCTTAACCTTAATTACCTTTAAATCTGACCCTTTTCCACACAGAGAATCACAGTCCTCTGTCGATCACCGACTAATTAATTACCTCATAAAATAAAATAAAAAGTCTCCTCCTGCAGTCTCTCTCTCTCTCACTAGGCAACTGCAAGATCCAGCTCCAACTCACTCTCTATCAACAGATTCTAGAGAGAGAAACTAGAGAGAGAGCGAGAGCTCTCCAAGATCTCTAATGGCGTCGATCGATCCTCACCTCCTCCGCCTATCGTTCGCCTTCTTCCTCCTCCTCCTCCTCCTCTCAGTCAACGGTTCAGTTCACGAGTACACCGGCCAAAAGTTCTCGGCGATCGGCAATGCCTTTGTCCTTCACGGCGGCAGCGAGGGGATCTACGCCTCCGCCCCCAACCCTAACGCGTCCTCCGTCGCCGGAAACGGCGATTCCTTCATTCGGTAACCTCCTCAGCTTCGAATTCACGGGTCGATATTTTAGATCTGGGCGTTGTTTACAGTGTTTTGTTAGGATTCCTGCGGTTTTTTGGAGAATTACTCGACTAGGTTTTGCGTGATGAGATTTATGAGTAGGATTGCGGTTGGATCTGGAGAAGGAGCGAGAGATAATCTTTCTAACTTTGTTTAGGCGGATTCAGATTTAAATTTGTACGTTCGAGTGATTTTAGGTTAATTAAGAAAATTTTCAGTAGATAATTTTTAGTTAGGTGTGTAATTTTCATATAATGTAGCGCTGATTGCTGAGCATAGTGGAGAATGAGCTGGAATATAGTGTTAGAAGCTGGGAATGGAGTTTAGATACCTGGAGGTGTTTGTCAATTGGAGGTATAGATTGTGCAAATTTCAATTTATAATTCATTTGGCTTTTGAGAGGAATGTAGGTATGAGATAAGGTTTGTATGATTGGATGTTCGATGCCACTAGGTTTCGGAGCTAAAATTAAGTTATATTAAATAAATGAAAAAAATTAGGGCAATGTTGACTCAAATTTCCCAAACGTTTGACCCATATGCAGCCTTAGAAGTTAGCTTTTAAGTATTGTGTAATGAATGATTGTTGATTGCAGTTCATTGAAAATTTCTACAATTTCTGATTCCAGAATTTTTTTGAATGTACCTTGTATATGTCTGTGAAAGTGTCACCCGCTTAACAAGCGAATGACGTGGATGCATAATTGAGACAATAAGCGGGTGACAAATTGATTTTTGAGGCAGTCAATGTTAGACTCAATATCTTGTACGTAGAGGTGCTAGATGTTGCAATAGAATGTCTATCTAATCACTATTTGTTAATTTATATGTACCAGTAGGATATAATAAAACGTCGAAATTAGCAGATCAAGAATCCTGAACTTTTGCATAAATAATTGACATTGTTGAATATGAGTAAGACATCATGATACAGATGCTGTCACTGTTATCACTGTGAAACTTAAGGTCTTACGAGCTTGGGTGTGAAGCTCATAACATTTATACCTATAACAGATAAATATATCCGGTTACTTCTGACAATGCATGCAAGGTCAGATTTATCAGATCATCTGTCATGCTAGTACCTGTTAATGGTTTCAATCTACGCAAAACTGGTTATAATCAAAAGAGTTAGTTTCAATCATGGAACTGACTTTAGTTGGTTTGGATACTTGTGCTTGTTGAAGTTGCAGGTTATGAAAAGGTTATTTCAATGCACTTTCAACTTCTAGACTTTCATGGAAATACTACATCTTATGACACGATCATTTAGCAGGCACTCATGGTATTTCTTTCCATTGTTTTTCTGGATGTTGTCAGATTTGAAAAGATTACTTTCAGAAGACCAGAACAAGCTGCTGAGGCCTCTAAAACCACCGACTCCACAAAGGTGCAAGCCATTATTTTTGAAGTAGAGGACAGAGAAACACTTGGAGGTTCAGCTTATGGTGGTCAGAAAGCTATTTGTTGCACTCCTGATCTTGCAAAATTAGGCGTTTGTACTGAAGGTACACTCATTTACCGGCCTTCCACTCAGAACATGGACTGGCCTCAATTGTTTTCTGCTTCCTTCGAAGGGAAAGACCTTACTGCAACCCTACCCTCCAAAACAATACCAATTACAAAAACTGGGATGTATAACCTGTATTTCATGTATTGTGACCCACAACTAAATGGCTTGGTTGTTGAAGGGAAAACCATCTGGAAGAACCCTACTGGATACCTGCCAGGTAGAATGGCCCCTCTGATGAATTTCTATGGATTCATGTCTCTTGCATTTGTTATACTTGCAGTCTTTTGGTTCTCTCAGTATGCGAAGTTTTGGAGAGAGGTACTTCCCTTGCAGAACTGTGTCACACTTGTCATTGCATTGGGCATGTTTGAGATGACATTATGGTATTTTGAGTATGTTGAGTTCAATAAAACTGGGATCCGTCCTAGGGGTATCACCTTTTGGGCAGTAACGTTTGGTACAATTAAAAGAACAGTAGCACGTGTTGTCATGCTCATGGTTTCAATGGGGTTTGGCGTTGTAAGGCCTACACTAGGTGGTCTTACTTCTAAGGTGATGATGCTTGGGGGCACATTTTTTCTAGCATCTGAGGTTCTTGAGTTGGTAGAGAATGTTGGGGCTGTAAGTGATCTATCTGGAAAGGCAAGATTGTTTTTGGTTCTCCCCGTGGCACTCTTGGATGCATTCTTCATTCTTTGGATATTTACTTCCCTGTCTAAAACATTGGACAAACTCCAGGTATAACGGGATTATGCTTGATATTAGCCTGGATTATCCTTCATATTAGTTTATTCCGCGAGCTTTTCATGAAGTTAAGACAGCTGTGTACTTTCTCTTGTGCTTAACCCTCAAAAATGTAAAGTACCGGAAATTTTTTATGGCAGGCAAGAAGGTTGATGGCCAAGCTAGACGTATACAGGAAATTCACGAATGCATTGGGTGTGGCTGTTATTGTATCTGTTGGTTGGATTGGCTATGAGGTAAATGTTACTATCTTGTACAAAATATTAGAATAAGGCATATTACTTTCTGAAACAATATATTTTCCTTATGACGAAGATAAACAGAGCTGTCTCCAACCCTATATTCTTACTAATTAGATGCATGCAAGATGCTAACGCATTTTAGTGCTTACGATCAAAGATTGTATATTTTGATTGAGCACCTGGAGCTACATGGGGCATTGGTTTTTTTTTTTTAATGATTCACATCCACCATTCATGGAGAAGGCCACAAAAAGGGCTCTCTATGAGGCCCAACATACAATCAAATGAGCTAAACAGTTATGAATTCTAGTAGAATTTAGCTTCTTGGTATTGCAGTCTAGTTGATCTTGGATCATCAATTGCTTCGTGCTAGATCTTGCAGAACTGCTTTAGTCAGGTTCCCTTTGGTAATTATTCTATTTATGAACATCTATGTTAAAAGTACATTGCCTATAACATAAAGCAAGCTATAAATCAAGGATACTTCATTGAAGGAGCTTCACCTCTGTTGGATATGTTTTAGGCTTGGTAACTGTTATTTGTTACTTGGTGTAATACATAATGATAGATATTTTGACTACTGGAACAAATTATGTCCTTTGAGGAGTTATGACTTGTGTAATTCATAGTTTTATCAATTGTTTTTAGCATTTGATTTGTTGTCTAGTTTATCTAATGTCCCTATGCTATTATATTGTGTCATATATCTATATCCGTGCATCATAAATTGTTGTAAGAGGGATTGCAAAAGTTTCTACGAGTGGTGAACTTACTTAATACTAGCGGGTTCTCTTTGCAACTGTAATGTATAGAAATTTGTAATTTGCAAATATTTTCTTATTGTTACTTCTTACACCATATTGACATGATCCATCTTTTTTAGTTTCTGAAGTGTTCAGCATTCATAGTTTAGATAACATTATAGATGATATATTTATGCATAAAAATAGCTCAGATGAGATAGGGTTGAGGATGTAGGTCTACTCTTTTTTGTATAAATCATCCATGTCTATTATGTGTTATATTAACTCAATATTGTCTTTATGTAGCTCTATTTCAAGTCAACTGATGAGTACAATGAGGGGTGGCAGAGTGCCTGGATAATTCCAGCACAATGGCAGGTCCTCTCCTTTTCCCTTCTCTGTGTGATCTGTGCTCTTTGGGCACCCTCTCAGAACTCAATGAGGTAAAGCCCATGATCCCAAATGATCTTACTGAAGTCCTATAATTCAGTTTTAATTTATTTTATCTTAAGTAACTGTGTTATATCTGCAATTAAAATGTTGGGACTTGTATTGACATCGTATACAAAGAAACCTGAATGTGGTCCAGAAGAATGACAGGTCACAAGAGTTTTCAGGTCAAGTATTTGAGAAGAATAATAATAAATGTCCTGACTCAAATCCAGTCAAATTGATTCTGAAAGATAGTTATCAGGTCTTCTAACTCAAATAATGTTATTTTGTAGGCAACAATATTTGCCACTATGGGTTAATGTGTTACATTTTGTTATTTAGTAGGACTGTTGTTGTCCTAGTTTAGAGTGATACGTTCCCGGGCTGGACATGTGTAACCTTGGACCTAAATCTGGTTTCAGGATCATGTATATTTCTCATTTGGTAAACTCAAAGCAGTACAGTATTAACCTGATACATTATAATAATATTGGGAAGCTAATAGCTAGAAGGTTGTTTTAAGTTTCAATTATACATGTGCGTCACAGATCTTATGTCTTCACATGCTTCTCTTTAGATATGCTTACTCTGGTGATGGGACCGAAGATTTTGACCGAGAAGAGACTAGCCTTTCATTGATAAAGCCTGGACCAATTCCTTCCAAGGACAATCGAAGTTCTTCTCACTCATCGGATGCTAAAGCATCGATGAGCTCAGCGTCAGCTGACTCCCTCAATGGAGACGTTGAAGAAGACAAAAGGGAGTAAATGATGCATTTGAGGAATCCGAGTCTTGAGAAATCTAAGACACAAATCGTTGGGATAGGATATCTTTCACAGAAGTTACACATTGTGTTGATCATTTAGTTGTGTGGTCTTTATTTTTCCCTTCCTTGTAGGCTTTTTCCCCTCTTAACCCCGTCATTGTATCCCATGTTCTTTGTTATAGAACTGTAACTTTTTTGTTACTGCGTCAGATGCTAGAGTTCGTGAATGTATTACAAGTTTTGTTTTTTGTGTCGTCCCAGTAGTATGTTTGTTAGTTGCTACAGTTTTGACGGAAAAAGAAACATGAGGTGCTTAGAGAATTTGTAATATCTTTCTCAGGCGAAGACTTCTAAATTAAGTTCTACTTCCAGTAAAGGCTTTATCTTTGTCAATTTGCGATAAGATCTTGAAACATTCATTTCACAGGACAAGACTATTTCTTTTTTTGTAGAAATCATCAAACATATGCCGAGTTTCAACATCAGGGCTTTTAGAGCAAGTGCAGCAAGCTCCCAGTTGGGAGTCCTAGTCAGCATGCTCTCAAGACCTCTCAAGCTTTTCAAAATAAAAAATTAACAAATTATACCTTGAGAGACACTCCTTCTTTTATGGAGCTCCAACAAGCTCCTAGTTAGGAGCTCCAACAATATCAAAAAAACCCCTCTTCTATTTTAATATTTCACCCATTACGTTCGATTATCATCTCCGCACAATTTCAACGAAAATTTCAACGAAAATTTCAACGAAAATTTCAACGAAAATTTCACCTCAACCAACGCACTCAATTAAAAAAAAAATTCATCTTCTCCTCTCCCTTCGACAACAGACCCAACCCCAAATTCATCTTCACCTCAAACAACTCATTCCCTTCGACATCATCTCCGCTGAAATCGCCGCCATCAAGAATCATCTCCGCCATCATCCATCAAATTCGTCGACATCATCTCCGCCATCATCTCCGCCATCCGCCATCATCTCCGCCATCATCTCCGCCATCATCCATCATCTCCGCCTTCAGTCTCCGATCCCACCCCGAAGTCTCCGATCCCACCGTCGATTTCAATTTTTGGAGGGGGGTTTTTGTAAATAAGCTCCCAGTTGGGAGCTCCCAAGCGCTCCACAAATTTGTGGAGCGCTTGGGAGCTCCGAAGCTGGAGGCCGCCACGTCAGCTCTTGGGAGGTCCTTGGGAGCGCTTCGGAGGCTGTTGGAGGGGGTGAAATCGGAGACTGAGGCCACGTCGGAGCTGAGAGCGGAGCTTGGGAGCTTGCTGCCCATGCTCTTACTAAACACAAGGTGATTCTCAATATGAAACTTCAATATACCGGGTGAACTTGCTGCATATAGAAAATTATGCTCTACTTTAAGCTAGCAGGGACGCCGTTCACTTGTACATCTATATAGATTTGACGGTTAACAAAACGCTTGCAGTGCTTTACAGCGCAGCTGATACCTCTCAATTCAGGTCGATTTGCGTACAAAAAAATTCGATCCAGACTCGTGTCGCGTTGAACGTTGAAAGCAAAGAAAACATGAATGGAGAAAACAGGGAACTACAAACTTTTTAATCTCAACTTGTATACATCACAAAGGAAACTTAAGCTCAGCAGCACTTGTTCCGAACATTTGTACCCCACAAAACCCTGAAGAGGACACGATAACAAAACAACCAACGCCTCGTAATCTCAATGAAAGTATTGCAAAAGTGAGTAAACAAGATAGCACCGGTTTCATCCGCTCTGGGTCAAGTATTTGAGAAAAGGCTCAGCCTTGGGAGCAAGACCTATGATCTCATCAAATGTGGCTAATTCAAAGTCCTCAAATTGAAATGCTGGTGCACAAGTACAACCAACCAAAGAGTAGTGGAGCTCGGCTTCCCTTTTGGGGGCTCTGGTAAGAACACTGCCATCGGTGGAAAACGATGTGATATCCAAAGTAGGGAAGGAGCCGAACCATACGTTTGGAGGAACAGTGTACTGAGGCCGCTGCCCAGCATCAAAATCCATGCCGAGGGCCGTTAGTTCAATGTGACCATCGTCGTGGAGCTCAAAAACCTGGTTAAGTTACAGGGTCAGTGGAAACGACAACATAAGCGCGTATAAAGGAAGGTTTTTGTTTGGGGGCAAATCCTGCAAGCTTCAACGCACTTCTCGCGGTTTTGCACCATACTAGATCAACTTTTTTTACTTCGAGAAAACTAAAATGAACTTTTTTCAGTAAATTACAATGTCTAAAGGAAATGGTTGTGTGTTCACACGTAACACATTTTGGACTATTTTGCACTCGCGTACTTTATAAATCTTCTATATTACCCTCTTTCTCTTTCTTTTTGTAGATTTTTAAGGGCAGCATAGACTCTTATGCAAGATTTTAACATCATCAGCAATACTTTTCAATAGGTCATGGTATTCTATGCGGTTACAAAAGTCGATGGTAGTTTTCTAGTAAAAGAAATTTGTGTTAGTGTTATTCAAAGCCCCAAGAATTCATGACAGTTTAGTGAAATTTACCCTGTTTTCTTACCGTGAGGGGTTCTCCCGAGTAAAAATGCCAGGTTTCAGCGCATGGGATGCGATGTAGGCGAGAGACGCATCCCGATGGAAGCAAGAAGTAAATGGATGTGCTTACAGGCCGATCTACCTTGTCTGTATATAAAAGATATTTGGTCAGAATTCTGTAATGTGCACAAATTAAAATTTGAAGGTCTACCATCAACTAGAGAATCAAACACGAAAATAAGGGATAAATTTTCAAAAACAACCCTTTTGGTTTTTTATTTGTAAAAAACGACATATTTCAGTTTTATTTGCAAAAATCGACCTGGTTTCAGTCGGTTTTTGAAAAAAAGTTTCCGAAACTTCACGGGAGTTCAACTCCCGTGAAGTTTCATAGTTCAAAAAAAAATTTGAACTGTGAAACTTCACGGGAGTTGAACTCCCGTGAAGTTTAGCAGCTTAATTAAAAGCTGCTAAACTTCACGGGAGTTTAACTCCCGTGAAGTTTCGGAAACTTTTTTTCAAAAACCGACCTGGTTTCAGCGCTGAGGCTGAAACCAGGTCGGTTTTTACAAATATTTTGAAAATGGGTTGTTTTTTACAAATAAAAAATAAAAAAGGTTGGTTTTGAAAATTTGTCCCGAAAATAAGAGGAAAATAAAACGGGAAGAGAAAGATGTGATGTTGTGTAGTAAGTGTTAGTGAATATTCACAAGATTGATAAACTCTACTTCAGCAATATTTGGTGCCTGAGAGTTTGCAACAAACAGAGAATACGAGAAAGAACTAGTAGAGTTTCCATAATGGAAGAAGGAGAGAGAACTTTGTATGAAAACCTCCAATTTATAATCTTTTCTCCATCCAATACATATCTCTTATCTGCCCATGATCACACTGTCCCTAATTCTTCATAATTCTTCCAATGCAAGACCATACACTATATCAACACAAACCTCCAATCCAAGGAAATTAAAAATATATATTTAAAAAAAAAAGGATGATCGATACCCAGAAAGATAAACCCAAACCAAACAAAAAGTCAGAAGAAAATAACAAATTAAATCACCAGAGCCAGCAAGAAGAAAAATAACCCGTGCAGGAACAAAACTAACCACCAATGAATAGCTATTAATGAGTACGTTGATCAAACCCGTTCATGGTGCAGCCACCTTAGAACCAAACTAATTAAAACGCCCAAATTTGGTTAAACCCGTTATTTTTTTTAAGGGGCTGTTTGGTTCGTTATTATAAGGGGTGGAAAACTCAGAAAACCCCTCCACGTCAGATTTTTAGCCCTCCACGTCAGTTTTTTTGTTTCCGTACATTTCTTTGTGCCGCTTTGATTCGCTCGGATGGAAGAGGGAAAACTCTGCTGAAATCGCCGCCAACTAAGATTTTTTTCTCTCTCCGATTTTCTTCCCCAACCAAGTAAAATTGATGAAAACTCTGCCACGTCAGATTTTTTTCCTTCTCTGCTTTGTGTCGCCTCGGAAACTTGGTCCCGACAGTGGACCGATCGATTTCGAAATCTCTTTACGAAGTCGTTAACTAACTCCGACTTACGTTGCTTCTCAGCGAGGAGAGTGGCCATTGACACTTCCGTGTCGTCGTCGAAGAAGTGGGCGAGGAAGAGCTTTACAAAAGTTTTCCTTTTTTTTCTATGCGAACCAAACATAAGAAAAATAAATACATTGGTTTCCCACCATTTTTTATGTGCGAACCAAAGCAAAACAATCTATTTCTTAGAAAAGTTTGGAAAACTCAAAACTTGTGTTTCTTTACATGGAATTGCATTTCTCTATATCAAGGAAACGAACCAAACAGCCCCTAAAGAAAATTAAAGGAGAAAAAAAAGCAATTAATATGTAGCGGGTTGTTAATTAATTAGTTTGCTTACATTGAGCAGGCAGTTGAGATTTGGAGAGAGTAATCGAGGAGTCTCGAAAAGTCTCGGAGTAGTAGCCACCCTCAGGGTGAGGCTTCAGATCCAACAGGGCTGCAACCTCTGAGGCTTTCTTCATTGAAGCCATAGAGACCTTAGAGAGAGAGAGAGAGCGATTGTAGAGAGAGAAACTATCAGCCAGGTTTTTTATAGATCGAGTCAAATCTCAATCTGTATTTATAAGAATAAGACGGACAAATTTTCAAAACGGACATGTTTTGAATTTTATTCAAAAAACAGATCTATTTTAAACTTAATTTTAAAAACAGCCCCAGTTGACTGAAATTAGATAGGTTTTTAAAGAAAAAAAGGTTCTCAAACTTCAAGAGAGCTGAAGTGCCGTGAAGTTTTTTATATAACAAAACTTCACGGGACTTTAACTCTCGTGAAGTTTGAGAATTTTTTTTTTAAAAAACGACCCAGTTTCTGCTCAACTGGATCGTTTTTTAAAATTAAGTTTAAAATAGATTTTTTTTTAGAAATTTTTTGGCAAACTGGTTAGTTTTGAAAATTTGTCTTTATAAGATCCTGGAGCTTTGAATCTCCTGTGATGGGTTGACGTGTCCCTATCAGGCTTATGGGGGCCCTACGTGTCGACGGACTCACCTATGGACCGCCTTTTGTGACTTGGGAGATGGTGGGGTCCGTATCGGGGGTTTTGGGTGTCGGGGTGGGTTCGTTTGATTTCAAGGGGTGGACGAAGAGGAGCGCGGGGTTTTTTTAAGGGTTTCTTTTTTGTCCTCGGTCTCCCTGTTTAGCTGGCCGTCGCCGTCTCGTCCCCAGAAGCTTGTGGAAATAATTCAGATTCAAAGACCGCGTGTAGTTCTAGAAGTGGTTGAAATTGGACTAAATAAGTTTGCTTTTGCATTTTTTAAATAATAAAAATAAAATAAATTTTCCAAGTCCCACGACAAAAACTATGGACGCAGACGACTTTTACTTCGAATATGCTTTCTTCAAAATTGAAAGAAAAGATGGAAAATTGTATGTATTTCCTCATATGTCATCTTCGCATTTGCGTGCCTCAACTATTTTACTAGCACTCAACTCATAAAGTAGGTAGATGAGGTGTGTGCACTTTAATCTTTTCTCAAAATTCTAATTGAAAGACGTTAAGGTGTTGCTAAAATAATTGGCGCATAACAGGTGCCGCCGAAAATGTAGATTAAGAGAGTTATATTCGCATTTTACCCAATAAATTTCTTGGGCAATCCTTGAGATTCCGTGGATTTTAAATCCGGGCTTCAATAGATTTAGATGTATGATCGTACGTTGAATTTTTAAGAACTTGGGTTCATGTGTTTGGTCCAGACTCCGCATTGGACTTCGCTCTCCCTTTGATTTTCAAACAAATTTGGGTACTCAATTAATCCAAAAACTTAATCTATTATGACTCATCAGAAACAAAACGAAGCAGCGGCTACACGGCGCTCACATACCCCCATTGTTCCGTACTTAAATATCCTGAATCGTAAAAAATTAAATAGCACTTTGATATCCTAAGTTATGAAAAAACAACACTTTAACATTCCAAGTTGTGTAAAAACTTGACACGTAAATACCCTGTTGTTTTGAGACCTTTACACTTAAATATTATAAGTTATAAAAAGTAACATTTCAATACCCTTGATTGAAAGAAGGGAAAATTTGCAAAATAGACTATTTTTATGAAATATATAGCGAAATAGACCACTTTGAAAAATAATTAGCAAAATAGACCTCTTTTGAAAAAAAAAGAGGTCTATTTTGAAAAACAAGGCTCAGAAAACATACGGGACTACTAGTCCCGTATGTTTAGAGCCAACTAATCACAGATTAGTGACTCGGAAAACATACGGGACTAGTAGTCTCGTATGTTTTCTGAGTAAAAAATTTCACTAATCCGTGATTAAAACATACGGGACTACTAGTCCCGTATGTTTTCTGAGCTGTTTTGCAAAATAGACCTCTTTTTGGCCTGTTGGCCAAAAAGAGGTCTATTTTGCTCCAGGTTTTTTATAGATCGAGTCAAATCTCAATCTGTATTTATAAGAATAAGACGGACAAATTTTCAAAACGGACATGTTTTGAATTTTATTCAAAAAACAGATCTATTTTAAACTTAATTTTAAAAACAGCCCCAGTTGACTGAAATTAGATAGGTTTTTAAAGAAAAAAAGGTTCTCAAACTTCAAGAGAGCTGAAGTGCCGTGAAGTTTTTTATATAACAAAACTTCACGGGACTTTAACTCTCGTGAAGTTTGAGAATTTTTTTTTTAAAAAACGACCCAGTTTCTGCTCAACTGGATCGTTTTTTAAAATTAAGTTTAAAATAGATTTTTTTTTAGAAATTTTTTGGCAAACTGGTTAGTTTTGAAAATTTGTCTTTATAAGATCCTGGAGCTTTGAATCTCCTGTGATGGGTTGACGTGTCCCTATCAGGCTTATGGGGGCCCTACGTGTCGACGGACTCACCTATGGACCGCCTTTTGTGACTTGGGAGATGGTGGGGTCCGTATCGGGGGTTTTGGGTGTCGGGGTGGGTTCGTTTGATTTCAAGGGGTGGACGAAGAGGAGCGCGGGGTTTTTTTAAGGGTTTCTTTTTTGTCCTCGGTCTCCCTGTTTAGCTGGCCGTCGCCGTCTCGTCCCCAGAAGCTTGTGGAAATAATTCAGATTCAAAGACCGCGTGTAGTTCTAGAAGTGGTTGAAATTGGACTAAATAAGTTTGCTTTTGCATTTTTTAAATAATAAAAATAAAATAAATTTTCCAAGTCCCACGACAAAAACTATGGACGCAGACGACTTTTACTTCGAATATGCTTTCTTCAAAATTGAAAGAAAAGATGGAAAATTGTATGTATTTCCTCATATGTCATCTTCGCATTTGCGTGCCTCAACTATTTTACTAGCACTCAACTCATAAAGTAGGTAGATGAGGTGTGTGCACTTTAATCTTTTCTCAAAATTCTAATTGAAAGACGTTAAGGTGTTGCTAAAATAATTGGCGCATAACAGGTGCCGCCGAAAATGTAGATTAAGAGAGTTATATTCGCATTTTACCCAATAAATTTCTTGGGCAATCCTTGAGATTCCGTGGATTTTAAATCCGGGCTTCAATAGATTTAGATGTATGATCGTACGTTGAATTTTTAAGAACTTGGGTTCATGTGTTTGGTCCAGACTCCGCATTGGACTTCGCTCTCCCTTTGATTTTCAAACAAATTTGGGTACTCAATTAATCCAAAAACTTAATCTATTATGACTCATCAGAAACAAAACGAAGCAGCGGCTACACGGCGCTCACATACCCCCATTGTTCCGTACTTAAATATCCTGAATCGTAAAAAATTAAATAGCACTTTGATATCCTAAGTTATGAAAAAACAACACTTTAACATTCCAAGTTGTGTAAAAACTTGACACGTAAATACCCTGTTGTTTTGAGACCTTTACACTTAAATATTATAAGTTATAAAAAGTAACATTTCAATACCCTTGATTGAAAGAAGGGAAAATTTGCAAAATAGACTATTTTTATGAAATATATAGCGAAATAGACCACTTTGAAAAATAATTAGCAAAATAGACCTCTTTTGAAAAAAAAAGAGGTCTATTTTGAAAAACAAGGCTCAGAAAACATACGGGACTACTAGTCCCGTATGTTTAGAGCAACTAATCACAAGGCTCAGAAAACATACGGGACTACTAGTCCCGTATGTTTAGAGCCAACTAATCACAGATTAGTGACTCGGAAAACATACGGGACTAGTAGTCTCGTATGTTTTCTGAGTAAAAAATTTCACTAATCCGTGATTAAAACATACGGGACTACTAGTCCCGTATGTTTTCTGAGCTGTTTTGCAAAATAGACCTCTTTTTGGCCTGTTGGCCAAAAAGAGGTCTATTTTGCTAATTATTTTTTAAAGTGGTCTATTTCGCTATATATTTCATAAAAACGGTCTATTTTGCAATTTTTCCCTTGAAAGAAAGGAGTGCTTTAATACCCAAAGTTGTAAAAAAAAGTAACACTTTGATACCTTCTCTTATAGCTGTTAAGATAATTTCCTAAAAATATCCCATGAGAACTAACAAAAGGTACTAATGTGCCAATTTTTTACAATTTAATATATTAAAACGCTATTTTTTACAACTTATAAGAGTATTTAAGTGTAAAGATAGTGAAACAATAGGGTATTTAATAAGTGCGATTCAGCCCAAAAGCAGTCGCAAACAACGTGACAACACACGTGCGGTTTTAAGTGAGGAAAAACAAACAGAACACCACCACCCGGCAGAAAGAAGACACATATCTTATATTGAATCTCCAAGACATTCAAATGGCATTCAAATCCTTCAAATTCAGAAATCAGCCAAAAACAACCAGATAATAACAGAATAAAAATTAGGAGTTAACTAATACCTTACGCAAAAAAAAACAAGAAAATATGCGCTACTACGAAAGCCACTCTTCCAGCTCAATGTGTACTGTAATTAAGAAACACGTACAGCTGTTACTCCTCATACTTCTCAGCTGTCATTTTGATCAACTCAAGTACCCTGCTTGCTCATTAAAATACATAATATTATATTGAAAGTAGGCTAAATAGCACTTATATGCCCTATTGTCTCATCTGCTTCTCACTTATATACCTACTCGTATGTGGTAGCACGAAAATACCCTAAAGTTTTTTAAACTTGCACTGATATACCCTCACTTAGTTTTTATAGCACCTAAGTACCCTAAATTTATTAAAACTTATACTTAACTACCCTAAAGCTTTTAAATTTGGCACTTAAATACCCTAAACCTAAACTTTTTTTAAGCCTGCACTTAAACACCCCTAGGTTTGCATAAATGAGGGTATTTATGTGCAAGTTTTAAAAAATTTAGGGTATTTAAGTGCTAATTGTAAAGACTTTTGGGTATTTAAGTGCCGCCAAAAAAAGTGAGGGTATATAAATGCAAGTTTAAAAAACTTTAGGGTGTTTTTTCCCCCTACCAAATACAAGTTGGGGCATTTAAGTGTAAAGATGGTGAAACAATAGGGTATATAAGTGCTATTTAGCCTTGAAAGTATCACACTCTCAGCTGTCATTTGCACAGAGCTTAAGCAGCCTGCTTATTATACAGTTTTCACAATTATTCAAGATCATATATCAAGAATAGAAAAAGGGATATACTGGCGTGCTCATATAATGTAGTACTAATGCTATGCAAATTTGGAAGCCTTTGATGTGTCGAATAGCTGTGATCACAAGTTATTTGTACCTACTTGATGATGCAAAACAGCTACCAGATGCATTAATTAGCAAAATAACACCACTACAAGGGACTAAAATCATGCATCGAAGCCTCTTAACCTGTAAATAAGTAGGTATATAACTTGTCGATAAGTCGATGATAAGTTAAGATCTTCTGCAGTTTAAGATATCATGACTAGTATAGAACTCAAGCTATTATAACTGCTTTTAACTTGCTTGGAAAAGAAATGATCGTAGATAAAACCATGAACATGTATCGACATACTTTTAAGAAGTAAATTGCAGAGACGACATACTTTTAAGAAGTAAATTGAAGAGATAAAACCATTAGCTCAGATATAAATTCTCTGCAGTTCAAAGTGGATATGCATTTTACTCCTCAATCCTTCAGAAGAAAACCACCCTCGATATGCAAGGAAGATCTAGGCCCTGCAAGTTCAAGGATCTTGACACAACTAATCAGGCTGTAATTGAAGTACAGAACACCAAATCCCACTTGGATGGCATAAATCTTTAAGAGAATACTAGGACTTTGAACTCTTGTTTCATCTATTTTTGCAGTGGACTCAGTGCATACACATGAAATGGAAGAAACATATCATTAAATAAGTAAAAATAAGTTTACAAGATAATATGGACGTGCACGGTGTGAGAAACCATATACACAATAAATGCTATTTACACGAATAATCTCAAGCATGTAGGAAACAAGATTCAGGATTAAGAGTATGGTTGAACTTACTGATGATATTTACGTCCATGTACATCTTGCCCCTCAAGGAAGCAAGTGCATATCCTTTCCAGTAGAATGCTGATACTTTTAACGAATCAGTTAAAACAGATGACATTTGCTCTGGAAAAATCTAAAACGGTCTAATTACATAAATTTTTGAAAGGAGACATCTAGGAATACAAATCCATGATGTACCTTGTACCAATCAGATGTCAGTATCCGCTTAAAAAGTGAGTATAAAAATATATTTACACTACAGCTAACTGCTAATTTACTATAGTCCCTAACAGATGGTCAATGTCATCTTTGCAAAAAGTTAAAGAAAACAAAAGGACAAAGTATGACAAAGAGAGTTCGACAAAGAGAGTTCATTATTCAAGTTTTACTAATTCATATATCTCCAACAGATAACATTGTGTATGCTAGTCGTCGCAAAGCAAGGACGTCTGTTGTTTACAATTATCTCCTTCCACTCTAAATTACCAAATAATAACAAATCTGATGAGGAGGACAAAGGGTTCGTCAAATTATTTTCGGTCTGCTGAGTGGTTGTGTAGATCCCTGATTGCATAGGTATGGGTCTGAGATTGAAGAGGTTTGATGAGGATGGAGAGTAAAGCAATGGCCTGGTAGCAACGATGACAACATCCTTATCAACATCGAGAAAGAGGTTCCCAGACACAGTGAAGGGGCATTTCCGATGTATAGCATACTGTGATTTTTCTGTAGGCGAGGAGATTGTAAGCAACTCCTGTTAAATGAGTCCTATAGGGCAAACTCTTTAGCATGACCTTAATAGTGATGGACATGCATTTCAACTACATATATCTTATTCCAGGTAGTTAACTAACAAGCAAACATTTAGTACTCAAGGTTCTGTCGAGTCAAGGGCTTAAAGTAAGAAAGATAACATCTACTAGTTACCAACAACTGCTGTATTCAACATATACAAGTGCATAAATATTATGTTAAAGCATCACTCGTAACTCACAATGTCAAGAGGAAAATATAATTAGCCTGTTGACTTTGTGAATACAAATTGTTAACAAGAAAGGCAACACTTACAAGTAAAAATTTCCTTCTAACTGATCATTAAGCAAAAGAATCTAACAGCTCCATAACATAAGAGATGCAATAATAATGGCACGTAAGATGACAAATTTCAGGTCCATTAAGTTAGGGTTTATCTCAATTTCAGAAACAGGATACGGTATAAAGGAAAAGCCAAAGAGCATATTGGAAGTCGCATATCCATATAAGCTGTATCTGTATTAACATAATCATCTCTTCCAAAGAAACTAACAGAATAACATAAACAATAATGGAAAAAAATATTGTGTTCAATAAACATGCAATAACTATAGAAAGATTTAAGATATGAAGATATCAGCTAAAAAACGTGCTAATATCAAAATATCATATCCAAATGGATGCTAAAATGAACAAAAAATAATATGAACATTCTAAACAAAAAGAAGGTCATATAACAAATTAAAACAATTTCCTTACAAAGGGGAAGTAACCAAGTGCATGCTGGATAAGCAGACAGCTCCAACAATCAACTTCTTTTCCTCAAATTACACGTTGTAGCCGATAACTTATAGTCGACCGCATGAACTGGAAGGTCCAGATCTTTGATCTCGCACAGCATGCACCTGATATTCCCAAAAGATTCAAAGAATATCTGCCACTACAAATGCCATCAAACTAGTCATTTTTTTTTCCTGGAAACAATTTCAATGAGACCTTCTCCTGCTGAGTGCATTAGGCGGGCACCCTTCGAAGAAATCAAGCATCATTCCCTCAAGATCCTCAACCGAGTATTTAATATACATCTCAGGGTGCCTCCCATTCTCTATATGATGCCTGAACCGGCCTAGGAAGGAACGATAAGCTGGCAACAATTTTTCCGACACAGAGATCCTCAGCTCCTCTCTCAATTGAACATCAGGCACAAACCACACGGCTTGAGTCCTGTGTGCCTCATCAAAAGCAGCATTGAATGACTTGAATCGCTCTCTTAATGTCGACTTTGACACCCCAGATGAGAAACTAGAACTCACATGAATCCCTTCATCTCTCAAACAATGAAGAATTTTCACCCAAGTTGCCCTTTGGTAGCTAGTTGCAGACTGCCTGAATTTTCCTGTCAATTTCTTCAAAAAATTGTCGCCAATCAGCTCTCGCAGCTCCAGTGACCCTTTCACCTTGTTCACTATATAATGAACATTATTCATCAAGAAAAGATGAGAGCATGCGGTATCCCTATAAAGAGCCGCCTTATCCTCAAGATTGTACTGAAGTATAGCTATGATCCAGATCAAATGCGAAGCCAATGGTGACTGATTCTCTGATTCTGGAAACTCAATCTCCATCACCCCACCACCCACATCCTCTCCATTAAACCTCGAACTCGCAGACGGCTTACTCACAATCAATTGAACTAAAGTTTGCTTGTAATCCGAAATAAGACTAATATAATTCATAACATATCGAGTCAAAGGGTGGATCGTACCTCCGGGTACCGGGATTTTTGTAGCCTCTCGAAGAACTGCGTTTTCAAACTCCGACAATATCCCGCGAACAGCTTCAGCAAGCCTACTCAAGATATCGGAAGCGTGACTGTAGATCGATTCCGACGCCTTCGATCGAAAAACAAACGCTATATCCGGCAACAAATCTGAGATCGCATCGTGAAGATCAAGAATCTTGAACAGTTTCTCCGTCGATCTCCGGCCGATGCTGATGGCGTCAGGGAATCCGAACAGCTGGAGCGCGGCTCCTTTAACGGTATCAATGAACGGAGCTTCATCAGATCCAAATACTCGGTCGCAGAGACTCCGCTCGCTGGCGAATACGATGCGAACGCAAGCTTTCGCTGCTCGGATCCATCGCCGGATCTTGCCCTCGAGAACCTCCCACTCGAGCTTCTGAACGTCGCCGATGCTGAGCTTCTCCACTCCGAGATGGCGGAGGTTGAGATCGATCGCGGCCTTCCTAACGCTGCCGTACACCTGAAAGCACTCGCGGCCGTATCCAGCGTCGATCATGCGATCGGCGATGGCTCTGAGATCGCTTATCGCATCGGACGGCAGGAGATCGATCTCGCGTATGCTCTTCGTAGATCGATAGCTAGAACTAGTTCTCGTGCTGTTACTCCCTTCACTTGTTTCTCCGACCGAGCTCTCCTCGTCGGAGAAATCGCCGGATCGGTCGCTGGTCATCGAGAGAGAACTGAGATCGACTAGCGAATCGATCTCCACTTCGTTCGCTTTCGAAGCGAGTATGTTCCGAAACTCGTCCTCGAGCCTGGCCATGGCGATCTGCATCGCGTTCGCCGGCGACGGACAGGAAGACGACGAGCAAGAGAGGCGCTTAGGGCTTGAGGTGACGGAGTCGCTGAGAGACCGCCGGATCTCGTCGACCGCCCTCAAGTACCGATCGGCGTCGCCGCGACCGGCTTTGTAGCCGTCCATCCTGGGGTTTCGTTTGCTGATTGAGTTGTTTGATCGTCAAAAGACGAGCGCTGATTGAAGAGAGAATTTTGAAGAGGGGAAGTCCAACTTTTTGACTTCAGAGAGGGAAAGTGAAGGGGTCATGGAATATTACGATAGCGGGAATTGGGATTCCGGTAATTGTGGAATGGACGGCTAGATTATCGCTGTCGCATGTAAGGGTTCATAAACGGACGGCTGTCAATACGCCACGCTGAGGTGATGATAAATGAACTCCTCCTTTCTTGTACATGCACTGTCGTTTTGTAGAGAGAAAAGAGGAGGCGCATTTAGGAGAGTACAAAAAGAGTGATCCGGTGTGAGTCAGGTGCGCACTGGATTTTGGTGTAGTGACTAGTGATACGTGATGCGTCCTTGAAATTTCGTGAACATGGAGACCAGCGGAACTACTCAAAAGAATAACCCTCGCGTTGTGGGGCCCCGCTCGGCACCGACGGCCGAGTGCATTGAGACACGGAAGATTTGTTTTTGTTTTCGTATCGGAGACCCGCTTCGCTCATGCTCGTGACCCCTGACGGATTTAATTGGTGTTAAAGTGGGTGCATTTGTAACCAGGTGCAACTTTCTGGCATTGGCTCAATAGTGCTTAGCTGGCACTGGCATCCGCTCGTTTGTCAATGAGTGGGCCCGCAAATGATTCCTTCTTTATTGGCATGGGCGCTGATTAGCTGAATCATATCATTTAAAAATAAAAATTCGGAAAATTGTTTTCATATTTAATATTATTATTAACTATTTTGAATATCTAATTTAAATTTTAATCTATTATAATTATACTTATATGCTATCATAATCCATGTGAACTACTTACAAGTCAATAGTTTAAAAATTAATATGCTATAATATATGAAGTATTATAAAAAAACTTAAAATTTTTTAAAAATTATAAAAACACTCTTAAAAGTATAAAATTACATAAAATATCTAGACGTTTAAAAACTTAAAACAGCAAATATGAAACCGTCAGTATTTTAAAGACTATAAAAATACCCTCAAAAGTTCAAATAAAAAAAAACACCATGAAATTCTGAAATTTTAGAACTTGCGAACAACAAAGATGAATTCAATGAATTACCATCACACACTAAAAATTTAAAATTTATAAAAGATAGGGCAGATTTTTAAAATCGACCGTTTTTAAAAATTAATAAGTAAAATCGACTGCTTAAAAAATATTCAGCGAAACCGACCCTTTTCACTGAAAAGGGATGGTCGATTTTATTATTTTTGAGCTGCACGGGACTACTAGTCCCGTGCAGTCCCGTGCAGTTCTCCAAAAAACGCCAAGCAAATCCACGTCCTTCCCCTACCTTCATCACATCTCCTCCTCCCTGCCTCGAAACCCAAAAAAACAGACCCCCCA